AGAGTCTAGGAGAGTTATGTTGGTTCTAGAAAATGAAAAGATAAGACCTTGCTACTTGCTCTAGCTACGCGTACGCTGCCCTGGATATCGATCTTTTAGCGTGCAATGTTACTTTTGACTGCGCTTCTTGAACCGATCGTGCATGCACACAAAAAGGTGCATGTCATGTGACGTGTTTTGACCAATCACGATGCTTAAAATGCTAGACCTATGTTATAATTACAATTATTAATCGTGCATCCATTAATCATGCATAAGTTGGCAACAAAACATTATAAAAAATAAGGGGATTTTTATTTTCTGAGCATGTGGGTGAAGGCTGGGAGTAGGAAACGATGTAAGAAAATATGAAAGAGATGAAAAAGTAAAAGGTAAACTATAGGTTTAGTTGGAGATGGTGTAAACAAAAGTGTCAACAAGTCATTCTACACTGTTGGTCATAATGGTGGAATAAATTTTGTTTTACCCCGCTTTATGGAAAGATTTTATCAATGATTTATTCCTACTAGATCTAGATCATTATGGTTCAAGGCATGCCCACACAGAGGATTCTTTATTTGGGGGTCGGGGCAAAATGCAATGAATTATTGATCATTTATTGCAATTTCTTTGTTTTTTGTAATTGTGGGGGCGGCGACGTACCATAGCCCCCACTGCGTACAGTCATGATTCGGTGGCTAAGCAATAGCCCCGTTACTGTGAGCCCCAAGGATCAAAACCGTGTCGATATGCTTTATTAGTGCCCTTTTATGAGGCATTATTCCTCATTACTGTCAGTTATGATATAAGGACGTAGGTTAGCATAGTAGCATACACATGCTTTAGCAGTCACGCAAACAAACACTCACAAATTATTTTCAATAAAATCTGAGAATGTATACTATTATCTAGATCTAGAAGGAATAAATCATTGTTAAAATCTTTCCATAAATCGTGGTAAAAAAAAATTATTCCACCATTATGACCAACAGTGTACTTGGAATAGATGAGTGGAAGAAAAGGAGAAAGTAGGATAGTGAGAAAGAAAGAAGAGGGGAGAAAGAACAAGCAGATGAAGTAAAGGAGGAGGAGGTCGAAGAGATAGGCCTGTGTGGTCCGCCAAGGAGTCCCATTTGACTCTAGATCTTGTAAGTGCTAGAGTGTGGCTCTGCCAATATATATCGGACATCTGAGGTATATTCATTGATTGGGTCATATGTAACATGGACCTACTACAAACGTTTGCCCCACGGGAGTGGATTCCCAGCCACTTTTTGACGGACCGTCTAGATAGAAGGTCGAGTTCGTTTGAATTTCACTGTGGACGTATTGGAAAACTTAAAATGTTTTACCACTGAAGCAAATTTGGGCCCCGAGAAAACGATGAGGGTTTTCTCTGATTTTTCTAAAACTAGTTTCATTGCCAATTAGGTAACATGGTATTTCTCTTGGTGAACCACTGCTGACTGACAGAATACAGCATTTAGACGGTACTAGTATAAGGCCCATGGATGAACTATATTGGTGCAGTTTAGTGATTATCTTCTGATGTTGTAACTTATTACATGTAATGAGATTAAACTCATCAGCGTAAGGTATTGTTATCATCAAAGTACCATTTAGATTATACCCATACTTATCCTTGAGTTCGGCCAAATATTCAAGGAGGGGGTTGAATCAGGCGAGGAAAATAACCGGCGAGAGGGGATCCCCCTGGAATACACCTCTTTTAAACGTGACAGGATTTGATGACCAATCACTACCAGCAATACTACCTTGAAGTTTGCTGTATACATTTTCAATATACAATGAAACATTTTGTGGAACATCAAATCGTTTAAGCGAGTGAGAAATCGTGGCTGCATGACTACCAAAGGCATCGGCTATACTCAAAATAGGTTATGATGACAGCTATGTACGCTTTCTATACCGAATATCTGCAATAATCTCTTGAACTACTTGATTGGGTTTTATGCACCCATTTATACCGCAAATAAAAGCCTTCTGAACAGATTTATCAACAAACTTATTCTCTACGAGGTATTCATTCAATCGGTTCACCAATATTTGGTGAAAACCTTTGCTCACGCATTAAGTGAATGAGATCATTATGAAATTTTCGGGTAGGGAAGGATCGATCCCCGTCTTTGTGTATAAGGGATACACGAGAGACAGACCAATTATCGGGTGGATCATTACTTTCATATACATGTAGTATACGAGTATACAATGTAGCTAGACAATGATGAATACAAGGTACATTACGTAACAACCTGTAAAAGTTATGGATGATTGGTGTTTTAGAGATATGTTGGTGAGAGGTTATTTTCTTTAGTTTGCAAACCCATAGCCCCGAATTCACAAAGGAGGTTTGTCGACAAACCTTGGTTTTCGTACGTCATATTACGCGTTTTTACGCGTTTTTTTTACAAACCTGGTTTGTAAAGAACAACAGGAGGTTTGCGAAACAAAAGGAGGTTTGTGGACAAAACTTGGTTTGTCGACAAACCTCCTTTGTGAATTCGGGTCATATAGTCCAGTAGACCCATCTAGGATACAAATCAACAACAAAACCTTGTACTTAACAACTTGTCCAGGTCTGAAAAACTTCTACATGACTACAAGGAAGTAAGGTTAGGCCTTTATCACCCACAGGGCGATTGTATGCAAATTGTGTAGTGGTTTAAGGAACTTTTGAACTTGAACACTGTGTTACAAGATCAGTCACGTTTTTGAAGATGATCGACTCTACAGACTTATCGGGTTCTTCCACTTTTCCTGTTGTTTGTGTCTTAAATGATAGCGATTATCCGGGTGTTTGGAAAAAACCCTTGCAAAGTCGTATTATGCATGTTTTCAGGCTGCCTGGACTGACATTAGCAACATTATTACATATTGCACATATTGCACATATATGCTAATTAGATTATTATGCTAATTAGGCTAATTATACTACATATACATGGAATATCTTCTCATGAATTAATGATTAATCTTTAGTGATTTACAATGTTGCATTGCACCATTTTTAGGCTTTATATATAAACAATGACAATGAAGTCCATATATTGTACATAAAATTATGCTAATTATGCTATTTAAGACAATTGTATTACTTTTATAAAAAAATTGTTTTCCGGCTTCCTGGATTGAGATTAGCAACATCATTACATTTTGCACATATGCTAATAAGATGATTTTGCTGATATGGCTATTCAAAAAGTTGCCCAAGGTTGCCAAGCTGGCAACCAAGCTGAATTTACTTCAATACCCATCTAGAACACAAATCAACCAAAAAACCTTGTACTTAACAACTTTTCCAGGTCTGAAAAACTTCTACAGGACTAATACATTAAGCAACCCGGACCAGGGGCGGAATATGCTTTTTTTTAATCTGAAGAACTGATTGAACTTGCTATGGTGTATTTATTTATTGATAAACAGGGTGGTTCTTTCAGTGCCAAAGGCCTGCTTTACAAAAGAGCCTTGTACATACAAAGATTTCCAAAAAAAAAAAAAAAATAGAATACATTGTAGAAAACAAAGGTCAGGAATATCTTCTCATGAATTAATGATTAATCTTTCAAAAGTGATTTACAATGTTGCATTGCACCATTTTTAGGCTTTATAGATAAACAATGACAATGAAGTCCATGATATTGTACATATTATGCTAATTATGCTATTTAAGACAATTGTATTACTTAAAAATAAAAATTGGTGTCATAAATGAATTCCTTGTCATAGAAAACCCTTGAAAAGTTGTACTATCCATGTTTTCAGGCTTCTTGAATTGAGATAAGCATTAATACAAATTGTATCTATACAACAATTTTCAGAATACCAATTATCTTGTCCTGTTATCTCTCGTGCGCATGCAGATGCAAATTAGGATTGAGCGCCATTTTCTTTTAATAATACGCACAATTAAAAGCGCAAAGAAGTTTGAGTGCAGGCGCAGCCAAAGAGATGAGAGAAAAGATACAACAAAAGTTACAACAATTTTCCGAATACCAACTTTATCTTATCTTTAAAGAGACAACAATTTTTAGAGATAACACAGGGTTCAGAATACGGCCTAGCCCAAATCTCAGCGATTTTTTTTTAATTGATAAAATTACCGATAGTGAGAGCGCACTATTATTAAGCAGGCAGCAAACTATTCGCGTTCCATGCGCGTATGCATGTTTATTTTGACGTCAGAATGCAATTTCTTTTGGTCCATTTGTTCCATTATAATAATAATAATAATAATAATTTATTCTTACTGAGTGCTACTACAGACAAACTGATCAGAGCGCTATTAAAACAGAAAAGAAATATACAAATCATAACAATAAAATAAGGAACAGTTATTAAGATATTATGAATGAAAAGGAATGTTGCTACTTAAAATGTCTATTATGGATTGAAGATGGAAAGAGTTGGGTTTTAAGTTTCTTTTTGAAAGTGAAGGTGAAGGGCACTTACCCGACCTCACAATATACTTTGTGCATCATTAGTGACGTCAGCGTGCAATGGTGCAAATTGATCAAACCTTTGCACGCCTGGAGAATGATGCCGTTCAACATTACTTTTATCGCATGTCATGTGATTAAGAATTGACAAATGAGGTGTCCAGAATCTTAGTAGGCGTTGCATAATACACAGTGCAACACACTTTAATTTTGCAAATACTCCAAATAGTAATAACGCGCGTTGTTACTCTTTGGATCAAAGCCATTAACTTGAGAGATCAGCGAAACACAAAATACCACACGTAGCCAGAGTTTGATGTTGGGGGGGGGGGGGGGCACATACATGTAATCGATCGAGGTCAAAAAAGGGGTCAAAAAAGTTCAACCGATCTTGGAATTTTTGGGGGGCACGCGCCCCCCGTGGTTTCGTGCCTGGATTGATGGGCGAAACTATCTTTCATCACGTGATTTACTTTTGACCAATCCTAGAGCAAGATTCTTAGTATGTGGAATATAATATCTTATAGAAACCTAAGTCAACTTACTCAATTCTCAGCGGCCCTAGAAAATCTGAAGTTCAAGATTCCAGATCCAGGTGAGTGTCTTATTTTCATGCTTGTTTGTAACCCTACATTGATTTGTAGCCTAATACCGGTATAGGCCTAAACACTTTCATCTGAAGATCAAATCTATTTTAAACCTGAGCAACATCATCCACTGAAAATGCAAACTTCGACGTTTAGTAAAACTTATAAGATTAACATAAAATTTTGCGCCAGTTATGCATTAACATTTGTTGTCGGCAGGGAACTCGGTAAAATTTACAATCGGTAAAAATTACAAAAGGGTTTTTATCAGAAACGCTTCCCATCAGGCTGTGTATTCCTATTTGGAATTCGGAATATTCTTTCTGCAGGGAAATATACGCTCCAGTTCTCGGTGATATCTCAAAAACGCGACCACCTTTTGAAGTGAAATTGTCACAAGTTAGTTTTATTGTATTTACCTAGATTTATATAGCATTAACATAATCACTATAGACTCCAACTACCAAACGTATGCAATACCTTAAATACTATGGATTTAGAATAATTAATCTACCCTAAAGATATAAACTGCTTTACACGAGAATAACCGTGTTCTTAAGTTGATTATGTTGACTTTATCTTAATTGATCAGTGTATTTGCATAACAAGCTTTCATTTTGATCAGTGGCGTAATTGAGGGGGGGGGGGGTCAAAACAAAACAAAAGAGAGAGATAGAGAAGAAAAAAATAGGAAAATAGAAAAGAAATGAAAATGTCTGTTTACGTCACTGATTTTGATCGTAGGTGGTTATATTATTTATCTTCAATGCAAATTTAACATTGTATTAAATGATTAAAATTATTGTTGATGACTTTTCATATTATTTTGTGATCAACCATAACCCTTTTGCTCCCACACAGCTGTAGTTAATTTAAAAAGAGGTTCGTGTCAAATCTGTTCATTCTTTTTCCAGCAGGACAACTAGGGTGCCTTTCTAAACACTTTGTGTTCAAGTGTCAACTCTTTCAAACCTGCAAAGATGAGAATTTCCGTTAGTATCATTGCTCTTCTGATGGTTGGGGTGCTGGTTGTGCCTTCTGATTGTTGTGTATCTTCTGGTGTATCTTCTGAAGGATCTTCTGAAGTATCTGGGTCTTACTCCGTCAGTGGCGCCATTCAGTTCGTCACTGGAGCTGTCAAGGGTGCATGGGACTTCGTCGGTGGAGCACGCGACATGTGGCGAAGCTACAGGTGGGTACATTCAAAGATAATCTAACCCGAACCGTATAGGAATTAATTTAGCTCTACACGTTCATACATCATTTTCAGACTTATTCAGAATTATAATAACAATTTAATTCAAACTTTATTGATTTAAATCTAAACAGATAGGATCATTCTCAATTTGTGTACATATATTAACACATCAGGCACGTAGGAACCTTGGGCCCGGGGGGGGGGGGGGGGCAAATATTGTCATGATGAAAAATTGGCATGTTTATATGAGGGAATAGTACTGCAGTCTGTAGGCCATTTAAGCAGATCACATCGACAAAGTGGCTATTTCAATACAAGAATTTTGCCTACGGAATCTTTAAGTCGTTTCTCAGTCGTCGGTGCTAGCGCCCATGTAACATACGCAAATTGAACACGCGCGCAGGGCCAGGAATCAAGCCCGGCCCGCAATCACACCACACAGTTACTACGGGGTCAACAGTGAAGGGATCGGGGGATGCGCCCATTAGTCAGGTCACTATACGGTAAAAAAACACTCCTACCCCCAAAATTGCAAAAAAAGGTTTTTTTAACGGTTTCTAATAGTATTTGACCTCAGGAATAACATACTAAAAGTATACCAAAATCGAAGGTTCGGAAAGCTGTTATTTTCAAGATGGCGTCCAAGATGGCCGCCGATACCTAAAAATGGCCATACATCACTTATTATCCATCCTACAGACATAATTTTGGTGTCTATCCCATGGTTTTGGGGTCAGAGAATCCATTGAGACAAGTGAGAATGGTTTGTGATGGTCTTGGAAACCCCAAAATCCAAGATTGCGTCCAAAATGGCCGCCATAACATCAAAATAGCCATAAGTCACTTATTATCTATCCGAGAGACATAATTGGGGTGTCCATGCTATGGTTTTCAGGGTCATAGAATCCATTAGGATAGGTTAGAACGTTAAGCAGTGGCTCAGGAAACCACGAAATCCAATATGGCGTCCAAAGGGCCACAAAACCACTAAGATTTCTCAATAGAGGGCGCAATTTATAAACAGAAAATGAACTTATAATGTTTCTCTCTCACCCTTTTGGCGTCACCGACCCCCCCCCCCTCCCCCCGCCTCCCGAGAAAAAGGGTCAATTCAACTATTGACAGGTCATTGTCAACACATAGGGAGTGGCCGAGGGGGGGGGGGGTGAAAAAACAAAGTAACAACTTAATAATAATATCTAGACACTCATTCATAATACCTAACATACATTAAAAAATGTTTAAAACCTCGTGTTGTTCATGTCATCTTATTTTGATGAGGAATGTACTTTAGTAAGGAAAATCATCTTCTGCTGCACTATCAAGTGCCTCGTTAAATGGATTGTGGCATACATAAAGTTGGCAAGATCCACACACACACAGTTACATGGTAGTCCGTAACATCTGCAGGTATATCGAGGTGTGCTACAAGCAGTACAGAAGTCGCAATGAATCAACTTAAGAAGATTACTAGGTGCAGCCTCCGTATGGGTCCGTGTTTTCAAAATATCCAACATTTTCGGGTGTTTGCATTGTGAAAATTGCGAAAAGTGGGCTTTACTTCGAGAAAAATGACCCCTAAAAACAGGAAGGGGGTTCTAAACTAATTCCCCCCCCCCCACCCGGGCTTGGTAGTATGTTCTGAGGGAGTGCATGTGGTGAGGCTGACGTAGGAGGGAGTTGCATTGGCAATTTTCTTGACGAACAAGTTGTATCGTAATGATGCAACTGAGTCATTACAGCGGCCACCAAACATGACAGAGTGACATTGCTTTGATACCAAGTTCCTCTAAGTTAGTTACTTTGGCTGTCTTGGTAGAAGGAAAGTACTAGCACAGGATTTCAAAGTGAGGTTGCATTTCACAAGCTTCTGAAAGATTGCTATCTTTCCTATTCCGAATATCCGGGAAGTCGAATTGCAGTCGGTGTAGGCATCCAGAAAAAGTAGTTGTGAGCACAGATCCCGTACCAAGGTCCACTTTCAACTGCTTACAGTTCTACATCTTCGGAGCCTTGGTTGCATTGTAAGAGTGGAAGTATAGTTCTTTGCTATCTGTTCTAAGGATTTTGCGAAGTCCGGTTCCTTTCATCAGGGTACCGAGTGCTTCCAGCAAAATCATGAAGGTCTGGAAGCAACCATATTGCAAGTCAATCCCTTTCAGTGGGCTATTCTGGGGTACATCGATGATTATAGCTCAGCGGCCTTTCAATATGCTGTTGAATAGTCTCGTTCAAAAGGAAAGACAAAGCTACGACTCTGGGAGAGATACAAATAGTACAAATTGTTCCTGAACAGACCATAAATGCTGCTTTGCTTCAGTGCTGTTTCAACAGTTCCTGGTAGTTTGAAGTAGCAGATGTGATGAGCTTTAAGGTCAGTTTGTTCCTAGCTGCACTTTTCGAGGCTAGGAATGTCTTTCGGAAGGCTGAGAAGCCTCAGCTAGCTCATGTTATAACCGATCATGCAAGGTAAGTGTCGGGTGAAGCCGTGACAGAACACAGACCAGTATGTCCTTGATGGTGGTTCCTTGGTGCATTGGATACCATGGAAGACAGGAGACAGCTTTGGCAGAATAGCACGATCATATCCTGATTTCACACCCCCCTCCCACTATATGGTTCTGCAAATGTAGTTTTTTACGGCTATGGTGGAGGGCCGTCAATTAATGATAAAACACACAAGCGACGTACGTAGGCAGAATGCCCATCCAGTTGTCAGATTTAATGCAGACACAGTATTCTCAGGCAAGAAGGATGACTTTTTATCAAGAGACTGCAATAAGCAGGGATCGACTCATAAATCTCATTAATAAGGAGCTGAGGAAGATTAATTGCACCGTCATCAATGTATCCGGGGATGCAGATGTACATATTGCTAAAGCTGCAGTGAATTATTCTCGTCGTCAGTCGACTACTCTGATTTGAGAAGGCACTGACATATTGTTGTTACTCTTGCATTACGCAGATGTAGATAGCAGCAAACTATACTTCCACTCTTACACTGCAGCCAAGGCTCCGAAGGTGTATAACGTTAAGCAGTTGAAAGTGGACCTGTGTAAAGATCTATGCTCACAACTACTTTTTCGACATGCCTACACTGGTTGTGATTCGACTTCCAGGATATTCGGAATCGAAAAGAGGACAGTCTTCCGGAAGCTTGTGAAATGCAGCCCCACTTAAGAATACAGTGCTAGTACTTTCCTTCTTCCAAGTAACTTGGTATCAAAGCAATGTCTTTCATGTTTGGTTGCTGCTGTAATGACTCAGTTGCATCATTACGATACAACTTGTTTGTCAAGAAAATTGCCAATGCGACTTCCTCCTACCCCAACCACCACCGAATTCCACTCCCTCAGAACATACTACCAAGTCATGGCATGGATGGAGAGTGAATCGTAAGACATGGACGTCACAGACAGGGGCTGGAAATTAGAGGACAATTATGCTGAATACGGAGTCTGTACCTAGTAATCTTCTTGAGTTGATTCATTACAACTGCTGTACTGCTTGTAGCACACCTTGCTGTACCTGCAGATGTTACAGACTACCATGTAACAGTGTGTGTGTGTCGATCTTGCCAACTTATTGTATGCCACAATCCATAGAACGAGTCACTTGATAGTGAAGCAGAAGATGATTTTTCCTTACTAACGTACATTCCTCATCAAAATGAAGGAACATACAGACCTGCATGTGTATTCGTTATAAGATGACATGAACAACACGAGGTTTTAAACATTTTTAATTGTATAGTAGCCTTATGAATATGTGTCTAGATATTATTATTAAGTTGTTGCTTTGTCGTTGTCACCCCTCCCCCCTCGGCCACTCCCTCAGTGTTGACAATGACCTGTCAATAGTTGAATTGACCCTTTTTGGGGGGGGGGCGGTGACACCATAAGGGTGAGAGAGAAACAGCCAAGGCTCCGAAGATGTAGAACTGTAAGCAGTTGAAAGTGGACCTTGGTACGGGATCTGTGCTCACAACTACTTTTTCTGGATGCCTACACGGAATAGGAAAGATAGCAATCTTCCAGAAGCTTGTGAAATGCAACCTCACTTTGAAATCCTGTGCTAGTACTTTCCTTCTACCAAGACAGCCAAAGTAACTAACTTAGAGGAACTTGGTATCAAAGCAATGTCTGTCATGTTTGGTGGCCGCTGTAATGACTCAGTTGCATCATTACGATACAACTTGTTCGTCAAGAAAATTGCCAATGCAACTCCCTCCTAAGTCAGCCACACCACATGCACTCCCTCAGAACATACTACCAAGCCCGGGTGGGGGGGGGGGGGAATTAGTTTAGAACCCCCTTCCTGTTTTTAGGGGTCATTTTTCTCGAAGTAAAGCCCACTTTTCGCAATTTTCACAATGCAAACACCCGAAAATGTTGGACATTTTGAAAACACGGACCCATACGGAGGCTGCACCTAGTAATCTTCTTAAGTTGATTCATTGCGACTTCTGTACTGCTTGTAGCACACCTCGCTTTACCTGCAGATGTTACGGACTACCATATAACAGTGCGTGTGTGGATCTTGCCAACTTGATGTATGCCACAATCCATTTAACGAGGCACTTGATAGTGCAGCAGAAGATGATTTTCCTTACTAAAGTACATTCCTCATCAAAATAAGATGACATGAACAACACGAGGATTTAAACATTTTTTAATGTATGGTAGGTATTATGAATGTGTGTCTAGATATTATTATTATTAATTTGTTACTTTGTTTTTCACCCCCCCCCCTCGGCCACTCCCTATGTGTTGACAATGACCTGTCAATAGTTGAATTGACCCTTTTTCTCGGGAGGCAGGGGGGGGGGGGGGGGGGGTCGGTGACACCATAAGGGTGAGAGAGCAACATTATAAGTTCATTTTCTGTTTATAAATTGCGCCCTCTATTGAGATTTCTTAGTGGTTTTGTGGCCCTTTGGACGCCATATTGGATTTCACGGGTTCCTGAACCACTGCTTAAGGTTCTAACTTATCCTAATGGATTCTATTACCCCGAAAACCATATCATAGACACCCCAGTTATGTCTCTCGGATGGATAATAAGTGACTTATGGCTATTTTTATGTTATCTTGGACGACATCTTGAAAATAACAGTTTTCCGAACATTCGATTTTGGTATACTTTTAGTATGTTATTCCTGAGGTCAAATACTACTAGAAACCGTTGAAAAACCTTTTGTTGCAATTTTCTTTGGGTCAAACTATATCTTGACCTGACTTCATACCTTATGCATGTATACAAAAGCCAGCGTGGGATTAAAATTTTCTAGGAGTCCGGCGTTGATGTTGCTATTCTCCAGTAAAATTAGACGATTGATATGGATGAGAAGTGCTCAGAAAGTGTTCTTTTTCCTCTATAGGCACATGGAGGCTTGATTTTTCGACCCCAAATCGCCAAAAGCTCAGAGTTCCGGGGGAAATCGGCTGGGGGGGGGGGGGGGGGGGGCTTTGGGGGGGGGGGGGTATTAGGTACTTTTTTGTGGTCCCACTTGTGAGGAAACATTTTTTGCCGATTAAGCCGGCTGGTGATATAAACAGGGGGGGGGGGAATAAGGCACTAAATTTTACTACTTGAAAAACCGTAGGGGGGGGGGGGCGGCCGCATGTTATGTCTGGTTTTTATTTTTCTCAATATCCCCTTAATGCCTCCGTAGCATGGCTTGAATTAATTTTTTGTCCACAAGGGCTCTTCCAAAAAAAAGATGGCCCTTTAAGTACTGACGGGGGCTCTTTTTTTAATACAGATTTCCATTGAATTGGTAGTTACCGAGGCGCGGATCCAGGATTTCTAAGGGGGGGGGGGGCAAATTTGAAATTATGCAAGCCAAATATTGGTACATAATGGTGACCAGCAGTGACGTAATTACCAAAAACATTTGGGAGGCAGACACACAATCCGCATCACCCCATTCTATTATATACAGGCCCCGCTGAACGTTTTTAAAAGTGGGTGGGGGAGGCTAAAGTATTTACGATCAAGTAGCCCTGGTGGGGGTTAAGAGGCGGAGCCCCCGCTAGCTCAGGGGGTATGGACATTTAATTATGGTCAGATGGGCATATTTTGATACCTTATTCATGACACTGGCAGGTTACTATTTGGCGTGGGATCAAGGGGGCTGAGTCTGATGAAACTCGGGGATTTTAGTCATTTTTTAGCGGTCAGATAAGCATCCAGGGCCCCGCCTTAGGCCGAAGCTCAGGGGTTTGGGGCATTTAATTACGGTCAGATGAGCATATTTGGATACTTTATTTGTGACACTGGTAGGACACTAATTGGCGTAGGGTCCAGGGGGCGGAGCCCCAGGAAGCTCACGGGTTTCAGGCGTTTAATTATGGGCAGAAAAGCGCGAAGCTAGGATTTTATTTTAGGTGGGGGGGGGGGGGGGGGCAGTAGTGAGCACGCGAAACATGCGAATCACTTACAGAGCGCGCGCTCCCTCGGGGGTGGGGTGGTTGCAGGGAGGGGCGAGTCCCCCCCTCCTGCGCGAAGCGCGGTAGCTTTGACGTTTCATTAAATTATTAGAGAAAGAAGACGATTCGTTGTACCGTTCTCGACTCTTCTCGTCTGAATTCATTCAATTCCCCCCCCCCCTCCTGCTTGAAGCGCGGAAGCTTTGACGTTTCATTAAATTATTAGAGAAAGAAGTCGATTCGTTGTACCGTTCTCGACTCTTAATCCTTGTCTGAATTCAGGCCCACCCCCCTTCCGATGGGGGATGCAGCGCAATTTTGTGGCGAAAAAGCGTTTATTTTCTTATAATATGGCAGCCTCTAGACACCGACAAATTCGAGCGAGAAATCCTGCACGCTATTGAAATATAACTTCCATAGTTCCATTACATTGGTTTAAGGTTTGAAAGTTGAAACTCAATATTATGTGAAAGTTTTAAAAAAAAGATAATCTTTATTTTATAATTTCACGGGGGCGATTTTTAATTTTGCAATCACCCCCGTGAGCACTCTGCCGGAGGCGATTGTGTAGCTCACGGGGGCGAATCGCCCACCGCCCCCGTGTATTTTGAGCCTTGCTCCGTAGTTACCCAATATATCGGCAAGGTTAAAACAAGAGATTGAATTTGAAATATTTTTATGAAAACGGACAACTGTACATTGCTTCGTTTTAAACTCAACAGTGATATGCGTGAGGCAAACTACATTGGTGCCGATAAGTACTTCCATGCCCGGGGCAACTACGAAGCTTCTCAGCGAGGACCAGGAGGTAGATTGGCTGCCAAGCTTATCAGGTAGGGATCAGTACTGTGGCGTAACCGGGCTCTGCCGGGCTCTGCCGGGGTAGCGTTCTGCCTTGAAGTCTCTCAAAACCCGGTCCACGCTCTCGAAAATCATTCATCAACAATATCTCTCAGTGGGCTCTCACAAAAGTATACCGTGTAAGAAATAACGTGGACTAGCTTTCATTCACTTACTCCCGCAATCACTGAATATCTGACAGGACTAAAGAAATAACACTTGCCCAGTATCTGCAGTTCAAGTAACTTTACTCGTTCCTGATAACGGACCTGTCGCAACGACAGGTCATAGCTGACTGACGTGACTGACACGACAGCTCAACGCCGACTGACTGTCATCTCACGATGTCCACATATATTTCACAATTAACTATAACGCCCTCTATGTCTTACTAAATTACTAGACTAGTTATGCTACAGTACCAAGCCCATCAAACTCGCATATGGTTTGTTTTAAATCAACAAAGTAACAAATAGACTTTAACGTTGCAAATATCTAATGTTCGATTCACAATGCAGGGACACCAATAGTTACCGCTATAAGTTATTTATTTAAAATGCTGTTTTTCCAAACACAGTGGCGTAATCAGGGGGTAGGGGGGGGGGGTGGGGTTGAAGCAGGTTTGTGTGAGGCCTCCCCTGCTCACTACTCCCTTCAGCCTCAACCCCAATTGGGATCGAACAAAATAATGCACAAACGAATGTTTTGACACAAATTATGCTTTGTCTTATACCCCCTTTGCCCCTTAAAAGCCAAGTCCACTCCAAAAACACAACTTACTTTCAATAGAAGCAGAAAAATCAGACGAACCAATCAAAAAAAGTTTGAGCTAATTCGGATAGTTAATAAGAAAGTTATGAATATTTGAAAAAGTATGTAAAAATATGGAACAATGAAAATCACAAGACAAATGGGAAACTCACTCAGTCTGCGACGTCATGTCCTTACTATCCACGTTTTTGTTTTCTTTATATTGATAATAAAAATTTCCTATTTTTCCACTAAGAATCTTATTTCTTCACACCAGCATCCGAGTTAGATTGATAGTAATAATTTCGTGTGTGGAAGCACTAATAAAGAGCAATTTTTTCAGGTAAATGGGACTAAACTATATCATAGTGAGGACATGACGTCACTAACTGATAACCAAATTGGCAATTTGTGTAGTGATTTCTATTGCTCTTTAGTTTTACATACTTTTTCAAACATTCATAACTTTCTAATTAGTTCTTCGATTTTGCTCAAACTTTTAAATAATTGTTTTGTCTGATTTTTCTGCTTTCATTGAAAGTACGTTATTTTTGGAGTGGACTTGCCCTTTAGAAGAATGCCTAACATTGGACATAAATAATTACATTCTCTATTACTATTGTGTACCAACAATGTTCTCTGCTTTGTGATTATTTTTCAGCGATGGCCGCGAAGTTTGGCTGGAAACAGAGAGCGATGAAGAAATGAAAGCAGACCACAAGGCCAACATGTGGGGGCGCAATGGCGGTGACCCCAACGTTTACAGACCCGAAGGCCTCCCAGATAGATATTAGATATAATCAATAATCACAACCAAAATATGGATACATTTTCATAGTCGTAGTTTAATGTTAACCGAAACATTGATTAAGCTCGCTGCGTTAATTAATTAACCACTATAATGGGAGACTAACTAATTAAAAACACTGTTTGCTCCTCAGTTATTCTTAAGCTACAACAATTTAAACATAGTCATGGCCCTCTCCCGTTTGACACAAATAGCTGTTTGGTTACGGCAAGCTTGAGGCAGTGAACATATCAGATAAACTTTTATAAAGCACTACAAAGATTTTAAGATGAGTTGACTTTACTGTGACATGATTACAATTTGCTTACCGTATCAAATTGACACGAATCAGCCATTGTTGGTCAAGTATCGATAAAGACCTTTCTATTTCAACGTAACAGCCAGCATATTTGTCAACTGAGGTTGGAAAACTATGGAAAGCCATAACTGCAAATCAAAACAGGTAGCCATAGTTTGTAGCAATGTTACACAAATTTTCAAAAATAGTGTTGAATTTATTGGAAACAAATAAACCAATCATGGAATCATGTCAATCATGACATCTTTTACCGAAAATGTTGAATTTCGGCCGTCCATACCAACCGGCGCACTTTTTTTTTTATCAACAATGGCAAGGTCTTATTATAACTCGGATAACCTGCGCTATTCTTAGCTCGGGATTAAACGGTGGATTAAAAAGCATGATATTTCACAAAACATTCCATGAAAGCCTCACATACAACATTTAGGCCTATAACTATCTAAATCAGCCTCTAACTCAATATAAGGAATAACATCTCCCAAAGTTGCACTCACTCTGCTTTTTGTATAATAAATTCAAAAAAATCTACAAGTGATTGGATCATTCTTGTCTTTCCCTCAAGTCTTGTGTATTACAAAAACAACCATTATTTTGTGTAAGACATAAATGATGTCATAAACCTACAGTTTAAACTGGCATGTGATAAATGCAGATTCATTCGGCCCAGTCAGTGGCACAACTAGGTGAAGGGAAAAAAAACATAAATTGCAGTGAAATCTCACCAGAAATCTAACAGGGGGTGGGGTATCAATGACATATTTTTTTCTCCTTCAAACCGGTGGGCGGGGGGGGGGGGGGATGCTATTTAATTTATCTAACCATTTATTTAATGTATATTTTGTCCTAAATTATGGGGGTGGGGTGGGGAAGGAGGGGGGGGGGGGGGGGGTCCGGCCCCTGCCTCCCCCACTCTTGTTACGCCGCTGATGATGTATTTGAACAAATAAATTTGGTGTTGATTGTCACTGTCCCTACTCTCTCTTTTATACATTGTTCTGATTGTCTGCATTTACGGAGGGCACCACCAGCCGTGCTTGTAGTTGTATACAGCTTGTATACTCACCTCCTGGTCCTCATTCCAACATGAGTGTCCACTCCCGCCCCTCCCACTCCCCCCCCCCCACACTCAGTGAAGGGCCGGGCCGGGCCGGCCCCCCCCCCCCCACTCCGTGGTCGGAATGACCGCATGCGTGTTACCAAAATGTCCGGTAAAGGGGTACTTTTCGTGCGACAAAGTCCGGCCCGAGAATTGTAAAAAAGGGGTGTGTTTTGACTTTTCACCCTGAGATTTCTTTAAAAAGGGGTGTTTTCTTTTTTTCTCTCATCTCTTTGGACTCCTGAGAAATTATTCCGAATTTAGGGGGGTACATTGAGCATTTTTCCGTATTTAGGGGGGTCTCCAAGGCAGGAAAAAGCGCGCTAAAAGCCCGCGAAAGGGGGGTTCGGAAATGTTGGCAGTCCTCAGATAGGGGGTGCTTTCAAAAAGAGGGAACGAGCATACGCGTACCCTAAATAACACTGAGTGGGGGGGGGGGGGCGGGGGCCGGGTGTCCAATACATCACTTCGATCCTTGCTCGATCTGCAGTGGAAACAACAGACAAAACATGATTGAAAGTTTTGCTTCTATCAAAATGTGTATCAGTCCAGGGGGTGTTTCACACCCGGTTTCACAAAGAGTTAAGTCCTGCGTAAAGTCCTGCGTAAAGCCCAAAGTCCTACGTAAATGGCTAAGTCATGCGTAGATTCGATGGCCATATTCTGTTTCACGAAGGTTTAGGTCATACGTAACTGCACTAAGTCATGCTTAATGCTTAAATCTACATGGAGAATGGCTGCCATGGTGGAGGAAGCTGTCCGTAGAGGTCTCCGGCGAGAGGGAGTTTTTATGGATAGGGCCAATCCCTTGGATGCCTACTGCGACTCCGAGCTTCAAAAGAGGTATCGGTTCTTAAGTATTCAAGTATGTTTGGTAACTTGTGAACCAACTTGTGAAATGTTAATGGCTGGTCGTTTTATTTGTGTTCCTCTGTTGGGGTAAAAAGAAAAATAGTTTATTTTTTTGCCAGGAACTTATGAAGACACTTTACTTGCATCCTAAGAAAATGATTTTGATTGACTGCAAATTCTATTTTAATTTGTTTTCCTTTTCAGATTGAAAAAAAAAACTTACCCCTTTGAGGGGCACCTACTTATTGTTCACTGAAACAAACGAGCAAATATTGATAGACTGATAAAATTGTGCTTCGTTCGCCCCGTGTTGACCAATCACGACCTTGATCACGCTTCGTTCGCCCAAAAGAACAAACGAACGATTTCTGCGCACAGGGAATTCCACTTTGGATGCTCTTTAGCAGTCTAGCTGATGTGGGGGCGTTAATCACTTTCGAAAACTACAACATTTCTGAAATTGTCGGGTAGGCCTATGACTGACAGTATTATTACAAAATTCATTGATAAACGGCTGTATAGTCGCTATATTTTTGTTTATCTTGTTTTGATATAGGTAACTCTTCATAAGTTCATGATCGTTTGATAAACTAATCTAATTTAGTAAGAAAGGCATCATCATGTTGATCATGTCGCTGTCTTGTCACATGCACAGTACATTGTCAGTGTCACCATGGCCACGGTGACATGCATGAAGGAAGGGGTCATGCATGGAAGAAGGAATTTCTTCTTCCATGTTGTCACTGACTGAGTGACACTGGGAACTTGAGGAAAATATCGGGTTTATACAGTGAGTACAGTGTCACTGTCACTGTGTCAGTGCATCATGTGCATGGATTGGATGGAGGTAGGAATAGAGGGCAACAAAGACTGGCATCTAGCCCACCTTGTTGTGCAGTTATGGCTGTCTTTTATTTAGTTTTAACATCGGTCTCATTTTTATTATCATTGAAGAGAGCCAAAAAAGACCGACAAGGTGTGCTATAACTGGCGTTCTACGAAGGATAGTATTGTTACTTTGAAAGTGAAACACTAGTTCACTGTTAATATGTCTTAATACCATTCCTTCCTCCACACCACATGGCCATAGTGTTACTGCGTTTGTGCCACTTTCTCTACTGTCAGTTCAAATTTTGTTACGACTGCACTAAAGTAAAACACTTCCATGTGAAAAAGAAAGAATAGACCTACCATTAGTTAATGATTAAGTAAACAAGAAAGAATCAAAATGTGGCACTAGTGAAAACGATACCTAAATTAAGAAAAGGAGAAATAGAGGAGACAGGAAAAAAGAAGAAGAGAAATAGACATCAAGAGCAGAAAAAGGACACTAACACGAGATAGATGAATCCCATATTTATATATATTGACCGTCTTTGTGTGTGTGTGTGTGTGTGTGCGTGTGAGCGTGTGTGTGTGCACGCGCATGTAAATCCTTCTTTGTGGGGACATTTGTCCGTTCCACACCCACGCTTTGGGGATATCGTCCAAACTCCAAAGTGGGGATATCCCCACAATGAAGAACAGTCTAAAACCTAATTTATTTTTTTGTTTTAATTATATTTTATTTCATTCCTCATAAATTCACATAACAAGTAATTCACAATAACAAGAAATTATCACAATTAGTAATATAAAACAAGATCTTTAATACAAGACACTTAATGAATTACATCAATCAATGAACAACATAGAACAAATCTCAGATTCTACATGATTCTACATTTTTTTCTTGCATATAACAGTTTATAATCAAAATAACAATAGAGGAGGGTTTAAAGTTACATAGTCCCACCCTATCACACACGCTCACACCAACACACTCATGACAACCCCCTCTAGCCCACCCCACCACAACCCCTTTCAACACACACACTGCATGCAACCTGTTCCGGAGATTTCCTTCCTCATAAAATTCACATTACAAAAGAATCATCATAGTAAGTAATACAAAGCAAGATCTTCGATACAAAACACTTCATGAATTACATCAATCAATGAACAATGAGCATAGACAAATCTCAGATCATACATGTTTATACGTTTTTTCTTTCATGTAACAGTTCATAATCAAAACAGGAATAAAGAAAGGTATGAATTTTACATAGTCCGACCCAATCACACTCTCGCACACGGCACACCCTCAACTCGCACCACACAAACTCATGACACACCCTCCCCTCTAGCCCACCCACCTCCCACCACTTCACACCAACACACACACTGCATGCAACCTGTTCCGGTTTATCCACCTGTACAAGAGAGAGAATTAAAACAAAAATAAATAATACCCACATCCATTAAAGTAAAAATGCATTGATTTGTTCCCATTTCTGTAAGTGCATCCCCAGTTTCCCCTTTTTGAAGGCTATTGTAGAGGGTTGTGGACGAGTGGATATGTCACCGGACTGTGGATCACAAGGTTCGCGGTTCAAGTCCCACCGCGGCACTAATGTCCTTTGGCAAGACATTAATCTACATTTGCCACTCTCCACCCAGGTGTAAATGGGTACCCGGTAGGATGCGAAAGCTAATGTGGTTAGATTAGCACGTGTGCGCTTGTAAAAAAGATGCCTGCCTGCTCCCCAGGGAGTGGAGAATGTGCATACATTCTGTGCGGGTAAGCCTGAATCCTATGACCGGGGTAATAATATATATATCTGTAAAGCGCTTTGAGAGGGCCCTCGGTCCTGAAAAGCGCTATATAAGAACTAGCTATTATTATTATTATTCTGTATTCCTCGTCGCTGTAATCTTTCAGCATATGTACTACTTTCTGTACAGATGGCAGAGTTCCTTGTTTTTTAGAAAATAAAAATGATATACTTTACTAGAAATATGATACAATTTATTACAAATATTTTTTCAGTGTTGCCGGATATTCCCCCAAAATGGGTTTCCAATCATCACTGTGAACTTCGATTAAATGTAACTTTTTAATTTTAAGACAACTTTAAGACAATCTATACATAAATGTTGGTATGTCTCTACTTCTTGTCTACAAAAGGAACAAAAATGGTCCGACTCAAAACCAAATTTAAAGAGCTCTCTTTCGTATATACAGCCCCTTGTAATTATTTGTATTGAAACTCTCTTTGTTTATTACATAACATTGCACATTTCATCCTTGTGAATGTTTCTTTAAACCCCGTCTTTCCAATATCAAATTGAAAGTTATCGTCTGTAACATGTAATGTATACTCTTTTTGAAGTTCTTCAATGAAGTAATCATATAACCGCCTAGACTTTATATTACATATTTTCTGTAAATGTCCAAATATCATCAATTCTATTTCAAAATGTTCAGTGTCCACTTCCATAAAATCACTTTGTATCCATTCTTTTCTGATTGCTGATTTTTTTTTTGAATTCTAAGCAAGCTTTCAGTTGCAAAACCCAAATTAAAAAAAATGTAAGATCGGTTTTAAATGACCTCTGACAATTATATCTGATGCTTAAAGTAAACCTTTCTGAAATAGTTCGACATCAAAAAATGTTTTCTTGCTGAGACATATACACCTATTATATACTAAATATAATCGGATTATTATTATTTTCTCAAAAATGTCTGCATTTATCTAATTCTTGCCATGCTTTCAACATGTCTTTATAAAACAATGTTATACCCTTCAAGTCCATTTTATTTACATCATAATTACAAAAAAATACAATTCGACTCCCAGTAATCTGGAAAAGTGGTCAAAGGTTACTTTCCAACCTGAATACTTTTCTCCATAGAGCAACCGTTTGATCCACATTATTCTCTGAGTTTGACAAATACCTTAAAATTCGTTACCCTGAGTCCCCCAGC